GCAATGCGGGGTGCGGGGGTGGGGGGGGGTTCGTTTGTGCTTCAGAATGACAAATGATGAGGCTCTGCAGCAAACTGCTACTGGGCTGGAGTGACTGCTAAGGGCCGCGCCTGTCTTGGGCGTTTGTGGCCCCTGTTCTCCCGCCCTTACCATGGGCAGGACCTGCTCCCTGCCTGAAGGCCCAGGATTTCCGTCTGTGCGTTTGGTGCAAATAAGGACTAGGGAAGGCGAGGGACTCCTCCAGAACACAGCGCCGAAAGGTGGCACGGCCAGCTGCCCTCACACCGCACGGCCACCCGCTGCCTCCTCCTCCCCACTCCCGCTGGGGGGCGCCCTGGCCCCCAGCTGCTCCCAGCGGGGAGGGCCCGGGTCCTCTGGGCCGGCCCCCTCCCTAGGCCTGGAAGGGGCCCAGCTGGTTTAATGGCAGCCTCGCTGCCCCCTCCCCTCCCGGACGTCCGGGGGGCTTCTTTGGGGGAGGTGGAGAAGGGCCGGTCCCAGAGTTTCCACCCTGTACTCCTCCTCCTGTGCTGGGGATGGGCCAGGAATGAACACTTCCCACGGCAGCCGGAGAAACGGGCTGCAGGAGGGGCCTGGCCCTTTCCCTGGGATGAGGGAGAGCCTGGGGCCTCCCCGGGGTCTGGTGGTGCTTGTCTCCCGCCTGGGCCCCGTGACGTCTTTCCTTCTGCTCTGACTTCATATGCGCCCGGACCCGAGGTCCCCATCCCTGGCTCTCTGGCCGTCCCCTCCTCTGCCACCCAGGCTTCCTTCCGGGGCTTCCGGGGCCCTGTGGGTGGAGGAGGGAGGGCAGAGCATCCCCGTAGGGTGCCCGCTGCTCTCGGTCTCCTGGCCGCCCTCCTGAGCGGACCTCAGGGGCCTGGAGGGGACACTGAGGTGCCCGAGGACCGCAGAGGGCGCGGCCTTCCCAGGCAGCCCGGTGGCCCACACTGACCCTGTCCCCTCCGCCTGCTCAGGCTGGAGGCAGACTGGGGGGTGGCCGCTTCCTGCAGGGGAGGGTGACAGCCGGGTGCCCCGTGGTGGAGGCCAGGGACAGCGGCGCCCTTGCCCCCACTGTCTCTCAGCTTGGTGACAGGGGCCGCAGAGGCGCTGGTGATGAATGCCGGGGAAAGCCGGACGGACTGGCGGTGTGAGCGGGAGGGGAGGTGTCACTCCTGTGGAGCGAGGACATTTTTCACTCTGTCACTGGCAGGCTACGACGTATCTTTAAACAAACAGAATAAATAATTTAGGGGCCCGATGGCAGGCAGATTGGGCGTGGAGACACAGGGCGACAAATGGGAGCTGTCAGCGTGTTCCTCCCGCCACCCAGCTAATTGTCATCTGGGCTGCAGGTGACTGGAAACCAGCAGGCCCAGGCTGGCGTCAGCAGGGCTGGGGTGGGGCGTCCCCGTCCATCCACCCCCTGCGCTGATAGGGTTTGGGGTGTTTTCAACCGGCCGTGGCCTTTACCGTTGCCCCATTACAGAGGAGGGGCCGCAGCGCCCAGGGCCAGTGCCGGGAACTGGGATGTTCTCGGGTGCAGGGCCTGGCCCAGGTCACCCGGCTCAGGCCCAGTTCCCTTCAGCGCCACTGTCAGCTCTCGGGGGCTCACTGCTCCCATTTTCTGGAGGGTGAAATCGAGGCTCCCAAAGGGCTATGGGACCGAAGGGGACGTTGGGCAGGGGGGCCACCTCCTCTCCGGTGCCTGTGCCTGCCCCTCGCCCACTTCCCAGGGCCCGGTACATGAGACCTGCCTCTCTCCCCGAAGCCGTGGGCTTAGCTGCTGCTGCTCGGAGCTGAGCCACAGAAGGTTTCGTGGCAGGAAGCTCGGTTTGCTCAGTTCACCAGGGGCTGACGGAGCCCTGGGGATTGGTTTGCACGGCACTGACCTGCAGGCGGGTGATGGCTGAGCCTCTCTGTCTCTTTCCTGACTCTGAGGATTAGACGGGGTGGAAGCACCGGGGGTGGTTGGCAGCCCCTCGGGAAAGGAATCTAGGCAGAGGGCCACCCGGTTCACTCGCTGGTGTCACGGGTGGGTAAACCGAGGCCCAGCAGCAAGGGCAGCGGGATCAGGCCTCCCTGTGCCCCCAGATCAAGCTCTGCTGTGCCCTCTGCCCAAAGCACATCTTCCCCCAGGCCCCCGCCTCCTTTTCCTCAAGTGTGTACCAGCCAGGTCACCTCCTGGTGCTGTCCCATGGTCCTTCTGTCCACCTCTTCCCCTGGCACCCTGGAGGGGCATGGGAGCTTTCTTTTTTTTTTTTTAATAAACCATGGTGCCGTGCTATGTTCTGTTTCTTCTTGTGGGTGTCATTTCCTTATGTCAGTACCTGTTTGGGTGGCAGCTGAAAGTGGAAACTTCCCTGCCACTGTCCAGCCTGGTGACTGTTCATTCTCTGCTTGAATACTCCTGCAGACAGGGAGCTCACTTCCTCATAAAGCCACCCAGCCACTCCACTCAGCTCCAGTTGTTGTCTGTTTTTGCTGCGCTGGGGACCACACAGCTCCCCACTGCCTGCATGGTGGCCCCTTAGCTGCCCTTGTCCCCAGCAAGTCCCTCCCACTCATGAAGGACCCTGGGGACACAGGAAGCCTATCTGTATTCAAGGGCTTCTGGTTATACTGCAGTGACTAAGAGGTCCTAGAACAGAACTTCCGGACTTTTGTTTCTCTCTGACATAGAGCATGTGGCCGGAGGGCAGGGTGGGCCCAAGTTCCTTCCACCCTTCTGCTCCGTGGGTGTCCAGAGTGCTGAGACTGATGCTTCAGGACAGGAAGGACAGGGGGCACACTGTTTCCATCACAGGATGTGAGGGTTGCATGAATCAACCAGCCCATATTTTATTAGCAAGATGGCAGCCTATGAGGCCCCCCGCTTAGCTGCAAGGGAGGCTGGGAAATGTAGTCCTTCATTTGGCCGTGCAGTGTCCAGAGGAGACTGGAGAAAGCACAGTGGGCTCAGCCTGCAGACTGCCACAGGGCTGTTCCCAGTTTCCTCTTCAGGGGATAGACACGGCCCCTTTTCTGGACTGAGGGGACCTGCAAGAGCAAGTTGGGGCAGATTTATGACAAAAGATAGCATTATTTTCCTCTCCCCAGCTTCCTCCTAGTTGACTCTTGATTACTGGCCATAATGATAGGCCCCCACATCCTGGCAGCACAGCACAAGCCAAAGGCCTCAGTTGCTCATCAGTCCAGTGGGGGAGTCCGGCCTCTGGCCCCACTGGGCTGCTAGTCTGCACCCCAGGGGCAGGGGACACTTGTGAGAGCTGATGTCACCTGGCTGTGGAACGGACACTGGGCTGGGCCCATAGGGAAACAGGAGACCCCGGATGTGCCGTCCCAGCCCCGGTTGGGGTGAGCGAGGGCCCACGTGGTGGGGGGCAGAGAGGAGGTCATCTCAAGACCAACGGGTGACGGGGGCTCCGAGAAACGGAGAGGTGGACACTCAGAGGGCCAAGTCCGTCCTGTGTCTCACTTTCTACCTGAGCAAGGCCTCTGCCTCGTGCTGTTTCCTCCATCTGGGTTCCTGTCCTTCCTAAGCCACCGTTCCACATGCATGTTCTTGCATGAGCTCCTCCAAAATAGAGTGCTTGAACTTCCGGAAGCCGTCCCTTTGATAATCCTTCATGGTTACGTATTTGTCACACAAACAAAGGGAACGTTTCGGGGTGTGGTGGAGTTAGGAGGCTGCGGCTCCATGGGGGTGGAGAGGAGGCCGCAGAGGAGTGGAGGTTGGGAGGGTGTGCAAAAGTGGGGTGAGGAAGTGCAGGGGAGCAGCCCGGCCCGGCTGAGGGGTGGAGGAGGGACTCCATCTGTGTGGGGAGCTGGGCCCAGACCCAGGAGTGGAGGGCGGTAGGAGGCCGGTGGAGGGGCAGCTGGGGCTGCCAGGTGGGTGGGGAAAGTCAGCTGCTGAGTCCAGGGGCCTGGGCTGTCTGCACAGGTAATAGGGAGCCATGGTAGGTTCCAGCACCTGCCCGTAGGGAGAAGGCGTGCAACAGGCAGCCCCTGACTCGTGGTCTCTCTGCTTCTAGTGCTGGCCACCAAACAGACTTATGTCACCTATGCCAACCAGGCCATCTAACTCGGCCGCCGGAGCCTCTCGGGACCAGGAGGAGCCACAGCCACGCCCAAGGCCCCAGCTGACGTCCTGCCGGCCCGTGGCACCCACAGATGTGGCTTGGTGCTGAGGACAGCAGAGCCCTGGCCATCCCTGCTGGGAAGCCTGGCCAAGCCGGGCGGGCGGTGGAGGCGGCGCGGGCCGGGCAACTCCAGGCACTGCAGGAGCCTTCGTGTCACTGTCGTGGGCCCAGCGCTGGTCCTCTGTCCCTCCCACCTGTCCTGCTGGTCGCCTTGTCGTCCGTCTGCATCTCTGTCCTCCGTTCTCCCACCTGTTTCCGCTGCATGTCCATCTGTTCGGGTCCTCGGTCTCTCTGCTCCCCCCCTGCCCTGTCCCGCCTTCGCCCGACCCCACATCACGCCTCGCCCACATTTTCTTTCCAGTCCCCCTACTTCACTTCTTCTCAATCCACCGGCCATCAAATTCTTCCATGTCACAAAAGAGAATTGTGTCATGCCCGCCTGCCGCCTGCCCTCCTGCTGACCACACGGAGTTCAGTGCCTGGGTGTCTGGTGATGGTTATTGATGACGTGTGTCGCGCATGATCGTTTTTATACCAAGAACATTTCTAATAAAGATAAACACATGGTTTTGCACCTGGGCTCCGCATCCACTGTGGGTCCTGCACGGGACCGCGGCCACCCTGAAGCCAGAGGGGCTGCAGTGAGAGGGCGGGGCTCAGGAGCGTGGGGTGCAGCTGCCGGGCTGGGGCAGGGGCTGCTGGCCCCCTAGTTAGGCTGATGCTGTCCCTGCCCTGCAGCCCGGAGGGACCTGCCTCTGCCACTGTGTGCAGGTGGGGGGTGGGGAGGTGCTTGGCTTCCGGGCAGCCCCGCGGGGTTGGGGGAGACAGAGCAGGTGACACAGTGAGGGCACCAGAGTGAGGACGCAGCACAGCCACCTGCACCAGCCTCGCCCCTCCTGCCTCACAGCTGGCGGCCAGGCTGGGGCACTGGGTGGCCAAGGACCCGAACAGAGCCAGGCAGGGCCCCCCACAGCAGGGCGCTGTGGCTGGACCGGGCATTGGTGCTCCTCTGAGCCCACCGTACCCCTGGGGTGTCCTGGCTGCACCCGGCATCTAGTGTGTCCTGAGCGAAGTCTGAGTCGGGGCAGGGGAGCGGAGAGGCTGCCTCTCATCTTGCTGGAGCACGGTGGTCCCAAGACCTGGCCCGGTGTAGATCCCACCATTGGTGACAGAGGCTGTTGGACGGGGTGTGGCGGAGAGCTTCCAGGTGACCGGTGTGGGCCCCTGGGTGCTGCCCCCTCTGGCCTAGTCCTCACTTGAGGTGACAGGCAGAGTCCCGGCCCAGAACCTCGGGGTGACAGCCCAGGACTTGCCCAGGGCCCCATCTGAAGGGAACTGGGAGGGGCCACCTTCTTGCCCAGGGTGGGGTGCTGCCCGTCTGACCCTCAGTTTCCAGGAGAGGGCAGGGTCAGCCAGGAAGGGGCAGGGGTGGCATCCAGGCCTCTGGCAGCGGGAGGAGGCTGAGGAGCTGTGTGGGCCCGGACTGCCTGGCGTCCAGCCCGCCGAGGCTCCGCAGGGAGGGTGGGTCGGTCTGCTGTCGGAGGGAGAGGCCGCCTTGGCTCAGGGAACTTGTGCTCCGACGAGGAGGAGCCAAACCGAGGTTGGCAGTGCTGGGTCCCAAACCGACGCCCGTAAGCCTGGCAGCACCTAGGAGCTGCACACGGCTTAGTGTCCTCAGGACCCTGGGGTGCTGCAGGACAGACAGGGCGGCCTCGGGCCTCTGCTCTGCGAGGGGCTCAATTCTACCCCATGGCACCCTCTCAAACCCTGCACTTCTGAGGCGAGGCCCAGCTGTGCGGCCACACAGGCCAGGTGAGGGCCAGACTGTGGGGATCGTAAGGCAGGTCTGGCTCACAAGCTTGCTGGGTGCTCACACTTAAGACTGACTGGGCTCTAGCAGCCTGAATAGGAGCCCCCTCAGCTGCCAGGCCACTGGGCAGTGGAATGCTGTGACCTTGGGGACACAGCTGCAGAAGCAGTAGACAGGCTGGAGCCCGGGTCCCTTCTGGCCAGGTGGGTTGCTTCCTGTTCTAATGTCCTGTGGCCCATGTCAGCCATCCTTCTCGGGTCCTGGAGGTAGAGGCAGTGTGGACAGCGGCACGGGGCACTGTGCCAGCCACCCTGGCACCCCTCAGGTTCAGCCCCACCAAGGGGACCTAGGGAGCCCGCCAAAGATGCTCTCGTGGCCCCCCTCCAACCCCCAGTTCCACTGAGCCCCAAGGGGACACCGAAGCACCTGGCACGGCGAGCTCCCCTCTGCCCCGCTGCTGGCCTGTCCCGCCCTGGCTGCCCTCGGGCTTGGCCCTGGCACTCTGGCCTGCCAGGGCTTGCACCCCCAACCCAGCCCTGAGTGGCACTCGGAGCCCAAATCTCACTTCGGTTGGCAAAAGCAGCAATTAGCATCTAATGAGGCTTCTTGCTTTATTTTTAGGTAACCTCCGAGGCCCTGCCTGTGTAATTCAGCCCGCCATCGCTTGGCGGGTAATTAAAGCGTGTCACCATAATTTGCCTTTTTTTTATAAAGCCCCATAATTATGTTTTTATTGCAAGTGAGGGGAGAAGAGAGAGGGGAAAGGAAACAAAGAGAGGTGGGCCGGGGCAGGAAGTGGGGCTTGGCTGTCCAACCCTGCACATCCGCTGCCGCGGCCTGGAGCCCTGGAGCAGCGGCCGGGACCCAGCGCACTCTGCGGTCTCCCCAACCTTCCCGCCCGGCGCCTGTGGCTTCCCTTCCATCCCCTGTCCCGCTGTCCTCACAACGCCGGCCCCCGTTAGCATCGGAGAGTGCCGTGGCTGGGACAGGAGCCGGCGTGGACGTGGACCATGGCCGTGTGGACAGTTCTCCAGCTGGGCATAGGGATCCTTTACACTTCGGCACTTGCTGGAAAACTTCCACGATCAAAAGTTAAATAAAACTCGACTCCCAAGTAGGGGCCTGCAGACTGCGGGGGAAGGGTCTGCTCTCCCAGCCCTTGTTTTTCTAACTACATGGTGAGGGTCTGTCTTGGGTGTTCTTCTGGAACTGGCGAGCCTGCTGGGAACAGGCGGGGCTGCCCACAGGGTTCCCAGGAGCCCCACCTTCCCCAGAGCTTCCCAACCGCTGGCTTTGGTACCTACACTTCCGTGGCTAAACCTCAGGCTTCTGGGCTGAGGCCTCTTCACCTGGCCATGGTGTGGATGCCAGCTGCTCCAAGGTGTGCAGCAGGGACAGGGCCTCCTGATCTCCCTAAGGTGGTGATGCCTAAGTCCCAGGGCTTAGAGGCCAGGTGCTCCAGAGTGGGGACTGGGAGACCTCGATTTTAGGTGAGGCTCTGCCATTAGTTTTGCTGTGTGGCTTTGGACAAGTTGCTTTCCCTCTCTGAGTCTCTTTATCCTTAACATGAAGATTTCAGCTCTGACTCTCAGAGCCCAAGCCAGGCAGCCAGATTCCAGCAGTACAGAAAGAGGGAGGTAACTGCAGAGAAGAGCCTTTGGGGGCTGGTTGCTATGGCAACGGTGCCCAGGTGGGGGAGGGGCCCGGGTATGCAAATCAGACCCTTCCTCCGGCTTCCCAGCCCTGCCTGTGGGCCTGTGATTGGAGGAGGAGGATGCAAGGGGTGGGGGAGGGGAGCGGCGGGGAGCCGGGCCAGCTCCGGGCCGGCGGAGAAATGGTGGGAGTTAGTCTGAGCCGGACAGCCCAGCGCAGGTAGCACAGCGGGCCCTCCTCGGGCTCTGTGCTCTTTTCTGCCCGCTCCTCCGAGGCCGGTCCCTTTCCTCTCCTTGCTCACGCACCAGTGCCCGGGCCTGCGCGGTGCACATGCCTGGCTGGGCCCTTGGCAGCTGGTCCAGGTGTGGGCGGAAACACTGGGGACCCCTCGGGCCTGGCCCCGTGCCCTGTCCTGCGCCACCCCAGAGGTGGCATGTTGAGGCGGCGGGTGTCACCTGCCCCCCAGGCCGGGCCGTGGAGCATCCCTGCCGACCCAGCCAGCTTTCCAGGAGAAGCAAGCAGCCTTCGAGAGTCTGGGACCACAGGGACATCTCTCCCAACTCCCTGCGGGGACATCTCTCCCCACCTCCACCCTCACCTTTAACCATCTCCTCTCTGACTTGCATTCTCTGTCCATATCTTTGCTGTCACCCTTACCTCTGTCTCTGCATCTACTGTATCTCTTCTGGGGGCTTTAAAAGAACATAACAGGTTCTAGCTAAATCACTGACTTGCCCAGGCTGGGGTTGAACTTGGGATCCTCCTGCCTCAGCCTCTCAGAATGCTGGGACTACGGGCGTGCGCCACCACACTGGGCTTCCCTTGACCCCTTTTAAGCTTTTTCCTTTCTCACTGCTTCTAAACAGTTTGATTATAGTGTGGTTTTCTTCATGATTCTTCTACCTGAATTCTGCTGAACTTCTTGAATCTCTGCTTTACTATTTCCATTATATTTAGAAAAATCAGGGCCATTATTTCTTCAAAAATGTTTCAGTCTTCACCTTCATCTTCCCTCCTCGGGAGGCTTCTGTTGCACACATATCAGGCCTCAAAGTTGTCCCAACAGCACAGTAATGCTCTGTTTATTTTGTCCTTTTTCTCTCTTGAGACAGGGTCTCACTTTGTGGTAGCTCAGGCTGACCTTGAACTTGCAGTGATCCTCCTGCTTCAGCCTCCCAAAGTGCTGGGGTTACAGGGATGCGCCCCCACACCTGGCCCGTTACTTTTTTATTCTCTATCCTTTCTATTGTTATGTCTTCAAATTCACTAACCAATCAGCTGTTAATAGCTGTTAATCGTATGCAGTGCACACATGCGCGCGCACACACACACATGCACACACACACACACACACACACACACACACACGCACATCTCGGCCCTGTTGCTTTCATCCTAGAATCTGACTGGGTCTGTCCCATGCGTCCCAAGCGTCTAGTTAAAACTGTGCTGGCAGGTGGAGTACAATCCCCACAGCGGTCAGAACAGCCTGTCCTCCATCCCAGTACCCACCATGTCGTTGCCAGCCTGGCTTCAACTCACCGTGTGTTCTTCTCCTTAGGGGTCCTGCCCTCCTCTCCTTCGTACCCCTGGGGACTTTTTTGCGGGGGTTGGACATTGCAGGTTTTGCCTCACTGGGTGCCGATTATTTCTGTGCACAGAGAAATCTTGAGCTTTGTCCAGAATGCAGTTGTCTCTAGAAACTGGTAGGTGCTTGGAGGTTTTCTCTGTGGCTTTGTTGGGTGAGACCAGCGAGAGCAGCATTGTGTCCATGGTTCAGGGACCCTGAGCTGTGGTCCCCAGGCACCTGGGCCTCCCCAGGCTCCAGCCCGGCCTCCTCTGCCCAGCTCCTCTCCTGGCACCGAGGCCCCACAGCCCACGGCCCCACAGCTCACGGCCGGGCGCTCCCTGCAGGACCCCAGCAGGGCACTGCCAGATTTGCCCCGTGGCCCGTTTCTCAG